GGGTCGAGGCATAGTGTCGAGACCTTAGACCAATGGTCGAAGCGTGATCTGGTGAGACCGTATTGGTTTGGCGAGGGGCGATTGCCCTTAATAATTGTCAAAGGGGTTACTCCCTGAGTCGACGTCGAGGAATAACTTGTGTTTAGTGTCGATGCTATATGAAGTCCAGTGGGCTGAATGAGAATTGAGCCTAAATACTAAATTGACTTTTATCTTTATCACATGTCCCCTGGTTCGCCGGGGATTCTTAAATCACCGGGGAACCATCTCAAATGGTGTGGAGAATATTCAAATCTTACTTCAAGTGAGGTGTTGAAGAACCGTATCCTTTTGAACATCTGATCTTTACTTGCTTTAATAATATGCGAGGGGATGACCCTTTCAATAGTGTAGTTGTTATGATAATATAACAATCGGTCAAATAGTAGACGAGAATAAATATGCCCGTTTCGACCAGATATTTGTATTAGGCAGGCTATTTCATTGCACTGACAACTTTAATAATCAACCAGGTAATAAGTTGAACTCCAGATAAAAACCATGTCGACCAGGTAATCATTCTGATGATTTTGCAATCGATAGGTAATAACTCTTGATTTTGAGAATAGTCGATGGGAGGTAGATTCCAGCTCTTAATAAAACGCGAGTGTGCTGATGGTCGATGGACCATACTTATCCTCGATAATAATAGTTGATGGAATATTTTGACTTTAGCGAATGGTCAGTGGACTATATTTTGCTTTCACCATTTAAAGGGGGCATGCCTCGCCTTTTGGTGAAGCTTTAGAGATAGTCGATGGATAATATTTAGCCTTCACTATTTAGAGGGGGCAATGCCTTGCCCTTTTAGTGATGCTTTAGAGTGCAGGAGGATCGTGATCAATCGGATCCAGCTTCCAAATCGAGCAATGATAATAATAATGATGACCCGGCGAATTCGAAGGAGTCCATTTTCTTTCTTTCATAAAATAGGCCTTCGAGGCTCATCAATAAAAGATGTAACATGTTCTTCATTATTGAATAAGATAGATGCAGCTAACTTCGACCCAGAAGAAAATGCCATGGGTCCATCGAATATCCAGTATGAAATCGATGCAAATAACGTCATGTCTTACTTGAAGAATTGGCGAGCAAAGTATATCATTTAGTCGTTGCAAATCGCCTTCTGCAGATGCGTGCGAGGCATACCCTTTGGGCATTTCAACTCGTCTTTGTAGATTGCGAGTAGAAGCATACTCTTTTGGGTATTTCCTTTTTCCTTTTTCTTTGTAAACAATCTTGTCCTTCGCACCTTAATGTTTAAATGAATTTTTGTCGAAGCATTTCTCCCAACATGAATTCTATTAAGTGTCCAGGGGTGTAGCCAATGAACTTAGATAATCTTTCAATGAATAAGCCACATTGACAAGGAAACAGAGATAATTCTCAGATAGTATACTGAATAAGATCAAGTAATCTGCAGAGGATCCCCAAATAAGTGCCACATTGACCATATAATCATGCTGAATAGTTTTAGAATCGAGGGGTAATAACCCTGTCTTTCTTCGATTGCTAAAAATGCAATAATCGAGAAGTGGCCATAGTTGAAGGAGTTGCACTCGACTTCATAGGGAATAAATGAGGGGGTAGATTCCAACCCTCGACAGTCGAAGGACTGCTTTTGCCTTTATATATTCGAAAGGGGATAATATCTCGCCTTTTAGCGACTCTCTTTAATAAAGATATACCCTATAGGGTGTTGCAAATTACATCTCATAGATACGGACGAGGTGTGTCGTTTTGGCACTTCAGCACATTTGAGTAGATGGCGAGCAGATTGCGAGTAGAAGCGTACCTTTTGGTACTTCCTCTCGTCTTTTTGGTTGCGAGTAGAAGCATACCCTGTGGGTATTTCTTCTTGTCTTTTTAGGTGCGAGTAGAAGCATACCCTGTGGGTATTTCCTCTTGTCTTTGGGGTGTTATGGTTCTTCCAGCCGAGAGGGAGGCATTCACCAAGGTATCCAACACCGAGCTTATTAGCATGTCGAGGCGCAGCAGAATGAGTGTAAGTCTTTTAAAACTTTTTAAAACCCCAACCCTACCTTTTACTGACTGTATTTTCCCTGTGGTTGACTAGGATATGACCTTGATGACGCTACTCTAGGAGCGGCTCTTGCTCGAGGAAATGAACAACACAGAGATTAATGCCACGTTGATTCGCTTTAATGATACATGTGATGTTTTGAGGAAGGAGAATACCGATTTGGTGAAGAAGTGTGAGAGTATCCAGGAGGAGCAATGAGCTAAACTCGATGGTGGCCTATCTGCGCAGGGAGAGAGATGAGGCCATAAAGGCAAAGGAGGCCTTTGAGACGACCTTGAGGCGTACGGAGAAGGAGAAGGAGTTACTCGAGATCGAGCTGAAGAAAGCCAAGGACGAGGATATGATCATTAGTCGATACAAGGAGAGTCAGGACTTTGCTAACGAGTTGGGGAGGGCTCGTCAGCGTGTCGTCTACCCTCTCATGGACAGTGTCCTTGATAGCTTAGAGTGCAGCCTACCTATCGAGACGACCCAGCAGCTACGTGGGCTTGAGGTTTTGGAGAGGTGGTATGAGTACAGGGACTTTGAGGGTGATGACTCTAGCTGCTTGAAGCTTGACTAGTTCCTTGATCCCTTAGTGAGCGACATGGATGACGACGAGCAGACGAGGGCAGAGGGTGACCCTTGGGGGATGATGACCAGGGTCTTGTCCCAAATCCGCCTACCCCGAATGATCGAGTGCCCTCAGACGTCAAGGATTTTCCCTTATCTTAGTTTCTATTGCTTTTATTGTGTTATGTACTCTATATTTTATAGTCGACTTTTCTCCGTTAGCCTTGTATTATGTTAGGCATTGGGCCGCTTGGGGCACGGGTGTTGGCTATCAACTTTATTACATTATGTAACCTTGGTCTTGAACTTATATTATATTAGCACCACTTTCATTTTACGGTTGATGTTTGATGCTTTTTCGATCTCGTGTAACACCAATTTCTTGATATATCAAGGTTAATTCGCTACAAAGTAAAGACATCATCTTTGTTTTCTATTGTCGGAGATGATATTAGCTCTCCCCGGTATATATAAGGGTGCAAAGATGATATTATCTCCGCTTTTGTCGTTAGAGGTGATATTAGCTCTGTTCAAAGTATGTAGGGGTACGTAGGTGATATTAGCTTCGCTTTCGTCGCCAGAGATGGTATTAGCTCTGTCGAATTATCAGGGTGCAAAGATAGTATTAACTTTACTTTCATCGCCAGAGATGGTATTAGCTTTGTCGACATATCGAAGGGCAAAGGTAATATTAGCTTCTCTTTCGTTACCAGAGGTGATATTAACTCTGTTAACATATCGAGGAGCAAAGGTAATATTAGCTTCGCTTTTGTTGCCAGAGGTGATATTAGCTCTGTCAACATATCGAAGGGCGAAGGTAATATTAGCTTCACTTTTGTTGCCAGAGGTGATATTAGCTCTGTCAATATATCGAGGGGCGAAGGTAATATTAGCTTCGCTTTCATTGCCAAAAGTGATATTAGCTCTGTCAATATATCAAGGAGCGAAGGTAATATTAGCTTCACTTTTGTTGCCAGAGGTGATATTAGCTCTGTCAACATAGGTAGACTTATGTCTGGGAAAAAAAGGGGAGGGTCTCAGGGATAGTATTAGCCCTGAAACACACATAATATTTTCTTGATACTTCGATTTCTTTAAAAAAATGTAAAAAGGAGCATAATAGCTAAACTATTACAGAAATTTAGAAGTAGAATATTTTCAAGTCTTCAGCATTGAAGGATTGGTGAAGAGTGTTACCATCAAGATCTTCCAAGACAAATGCATTCAGGTCAGGCATTGCAATCAACTTGTAGGGTCCCTCCCACTTGGGGATCAATTTGTTGGCGTTTTCCATTCTAGAAAACTTGTTCCTTCGAAGTACCCAATCTCTGACTGATAGTACTCGAGACTTGACGTTCTTGTTGAAATAACGGGTTGCAGCGATCTTTGCCTTATGCATGCTGTCAAGTGCCTTAAGTCTCTTCTGATCTACCTCCAACAAGTTGAGCTGCCATGCCTCTTGGTTCACTTCCTCATTGAATATCTCAACCCTCATACTCTGCACTTGAGTTCGATGGGCGCCACGACCCCACTTCCATATATTAATACGAACTGGGTCTCTCCAGTCGGTCCTCGGGGAGTGGTTCGATATGCCCACAATACATTATTTAACTCATCGGCCTAGCTAGCGCCCTTGTCCTCGACCTTAGACTAAATTCCTTTCAACAGTGTTCTATTTGAGACCTCAGCCAATCCATTGGTCTGCGGGTGAGCGATTGAGGAAAATCGCTGTTCGATCCCTTTTTCCCTGCAATATTTTTGAAAGTCTAAGCCCTTGAATTGTGTACCATTATTCGAAATGAGAACTCTCGATATTCCGAAGTGTGCGAGTATATTTTTCTCCATGAACGTGATCATTGAGTAGAACGTGATCGACTTCACTGCTTCTGCCTCAATCCACTTAGAGAAGTAGTCGACTGTTACTATAATGAACTTCCTCTGACCAGTTGCTTGGGGAAAAGGACCAATGATGTCGATCCCCCAAGTGTCAAAGGGCCACGTGAGCTCGATCGACACTTGCTTGACTGGTGGTTTTCTAACAATCGAGCCATACAGTTGACATGTAATGCATCTTTTGACGTACTCTTGTGCATCCTTAACAACCGTTGGCCAGTAGTACCCTTGTCTAAAAACTTTTCGCGCAAGGATTTTTGCCCCCTCTTGTGCACTCGCAACTCCTTCATGGATTTTTTGCAATATACCCGGGGCATCGTCGAGGTCTATGCATCTCAAGTATGGGCCGCCGACGGATCTCCTGTATAGCTCGTCAGTTATCAAGACATAATTGGTAGCTCTAGCCCGTTCTCGAGCGTCTTCGGGTTCAATTTTTCCTTGTAGGATATCCATAACCCTCGATTTCTAATTATCATGGTGAGCCTCTATAGGGAGTATATCCATAGCCAATACTTGCCCCCAGTATGCCCCCTGATCCCTGTAGAGGTGAGAATATATGACTTAGTGAATCCGCAACTTGGTTTTCCTCCCGCAGTATGAGTACGAACTCAACATCTATCCTCTTTTGGAGATTCTTGACTTTGTCCAAGTAGGTAGCCATATTCTCATCCCTAGCTTCATATTCACCGAGTATTTGTCGAACAACGAGTTGTGAGTCACTTTTCAAGACTAACTTCTTGATATTCTCCCCGATAGCTATCATCAAACATGCGAGTATGGCCTCATATTCTGCGGGATTATTTGCCAAGTTTGGAGCAAGTTTCATGGCAATGTGGAGGGGTCGCCAGTCGGGGGTGATATAACTATGCCGGCTCTAGCGGCCTCTTATGTGGATGAACCATCAGTGTACGCTATCCACACCTCATCTTTCGACTGGTCGATATCGACCTCTTCTGGCTGGGCGATTTCCAGTAGGAAATCAACAAGAGCTTGGGCTTTGATATGATATCATAAGACCTTGGGAGAATGATAGACTTTATGCCAAATATTCAAAGTATAAATTTTTTGTTAAGGAAAGACCAGCCCTTAATGTATTTCGTAAACAAAGACGGTATCAAGATAGATCCTGCAAAGATAGAAGCAGTAATAAAAGGGAAGACCATGAAAGAAATAGTATCAAGTTATGAGGTGCATGTGTCGGTAGTATCAGATGGTGATACCTGATTCACATCGAGATACCGCAGTAAGTTTCAGAATGACTTAGGTACCTGATTGAATTTTAGCACATAGTATCCTCCTTAGGTCGATGGTCAAATGAAAGAACACGATACGAATGTTTGAGGATATACTATGAGCTTGCATGAGATTTTAGAGGAAGTTAGAATCTATACGTACCATTATCGGAATTCTCATACAAATAATTTCTTTCTCGTATTAGTATGCCACCATATGTTGTAGAACTCCAATTTATTGGGTAACGAGAAACTGGGAGCACTAAAGTAGTACACAAGATAACAGAGTCCATTTAGTCGATTCGAAAAGACTTTGTAAAGCCTAATGTAGACAAAGGGGTTATGCAGATAAATATCAATAACTACTTGAGATTTAGGTTGGTGATTACGTTAATGTATCATCTTGGAAAGGGGTTATACGGTTTAGAAAATGACGGAAGCTCAGTCCAAGATATGTTGGACCATTCAAAGTAATTCCAAGAGTTGGATAGGTGGCCTATCGTTTGGAGCTACCTGAAGAGTTATCAAAAATACATAATACTATCGTATTTACAAAAGTGTCTAGTCAATGAGTCTCAATTTATATTATTGAAGGATATAATCATAGATGATAAACTGAATTATGTTGAGAGACCAATGGCAATTCTTGATCTAAAGGTTAAGAAGTTACGAAACTAGGAAATTGCTATTGTCAAGCTATAGTGGGAACACCGTCGAGGTTCAGAATGGACATGGGAACCAGAGGAAGAAATGTGAAGTAGTTATCCGGAGTTATTTGAATGAAAATTTCGGGGACGAAATCAAAATAAGTGGGGGAGAATTGTAACATCCCAAAGTTTTATTTGCCACACTTGGTATTTTATTACTCGTAAGGTACAATTTAATTAGTGAAATTACCATTATTTTGATAAATTTATGAAAAGACTGTGTGACAAAGTATGTTAGTGTAGTTATTATTCATGGACTGCTTACTACTACTATTATTATTATTATTATTATTATTATTATTAAATAAAAGAAGAATGGGAAGGGAAAGCAGGCGGCTAAGAATGTGTACTATTTTATTAATTAGTTAATTAATTAATTAATTTAATTAAAAATTGTGTGTGTATTAAATATTAGTATAATAGTAAACTATATATTAGGTGTGTCTTTGTGTGAATCTGATTATGTGTGTCAGTGTGTATGTGTATATGCCGTTTGTGTAAGTGTACAATATATAATTATATATGTGTGTGTACGTTTGAGTAGTAGTAGCACTCCATCCATTCCCGTTGATTAGGGAAAAATTAATTTTTCAAACTATTTATTTATCGAGTTTGACTCTTAATTTAGTTGCAATTATATAAAACAGAAAATAGTCAACTGAGATCTTGTTAGAATCGTCTCATCTTCTAGGTTTAGCATGTCAAATTTTAGAATTTTTTGTTGACCACAATTTGAGATATTAATCGTTGAAAGAGTGCATTGGATATCGTGATGCGGGAGAAAGGTGTCTAATACGCTGTGACAGAGGGAGTATAATATAATAATAGTATACAACTATGTATAGTGTATGTATGTAGATAAATTATACTTCCTCCATCCCAGTTTATTGTGCCCCTATCGATTTTTTACGCAATCCAATGCACTTCTCCCTCGTTAAATATCTCAAAGTGGATAAATCGAAAAATTTTGAAATTTTATGTGCTAAAACTATGGAATAACACGAATCTAACAAGATCCCACTTGACTATTTATTGAGTTATAAAATTGCGATGAAATTGAGGGTCAAAGTTGATCAATAAACAGACGAAAAAGTCAATAGGGGCACAATAGAGTGGGATGGAGGGAGTACTAGAAAGGTAATAGGGTAGAGAAGGACGGTAGTACTCTGTCGGCCAACCAACCCACTAAGTATTATTATATTAATTAATTGAATAATTTAATGGTATGAGTAGTAATGATTTCGGCCTATCAATATATTAGTGTTAGGAATAATGTAAGGGTAGTTCTTATGTTAAAGTTGCTATTAGGGAATAGCAACTATAGGTTCTATGTAATTTTACCATATTATCCCTTGTAACCCTAACTATAAAAGCCTTACATCACCACTGTACACAAGCACTTTTCATTCTTCAATCTTACGCAGCTTTCTTCTTCTTCTTCATTCGTTTCTCTTTCTCTCATCTGATATGTACAGTTTAAGATCTAATATGGTATCAGTCGCGTTCGATCATCCCCTTTATTGCTTCCGCACTTTGATTTGTCCTTGATTTGTTCGATTACAATCTCCATCTCTGAGATTTGGTCGATTTTTCGTTTCCATTTTCATTTTTTTTAGGGTTTTCCATCTCTGAAACCCGATCTGTTCTCATTTTACGATCTAAATCTCCTAGATCTGTTTGATTCCTATTTGATTTCGTATGGCGTCTTCTCTGAACCCCAACGATGATCCGTCCAGTCCGTTCTATCTTCATGCCAGTGACAATCTGGGAGCGCTCATTGTCGCCGAACTCCTCAGTGGCGAGAACTACGTCAGTTGGTCCCGTGCCATTGTTATGGCTCTTAGCGTGAAGAACAAAGGCGGTTTTATCGACGGTACTCTGTTATCTCCCTCTCCTACTATCGATCCATCTCTGTATGTGTCCTGGGTTAGGGCAAACAATTTGGTTCTGTCTTGGTTGATGAATTCAATTTCTAAGGATATTCGGCAATCTCTGTTGTTTTTTAATTCGGCTAAAGATGTTTGGGATGAGTTGAAAAACAGATATGCTGTGAGTAGTGGACCACGAGTGTTTCAATTAGAAAAATCTTTAAGCACTATAACTCAGGGTTCACAATCTGTTACTCACTACTATAATGCTTTCAAAAGTTTGTGGGATGAGTATATCACCTTTCGGCCTATTATCAGATGTCATTGTGGTGCTTATTCTTCATGTACATGTAACATTTTTGAACTCATGGCTGAATCTCAGCAACATGACTGTGTAATGAAGTTTTTGATTGGGCTGAATGACTCTTTTGCTTCCCTCAGAAGCCATTTCCTGTTAACCTCCCCATTACCCACACTATCCAAAATTTATTCTCTTCTACTCCAAGAGGAATCATAGAGATCTCTGAACAATTCCATTTTACCCAATGAACCCATGGCAATGCTAGCCAAATCTGCTTATAACCAATACTCCAATAAACCACCTTATCCCAAAGACAAAAAGCCAAGACCAAAATGCTCTCATTGTGGTTATCCACACCCTTCTGACAAATGCTACCAAGTCTATGGATATCCACCTAATTGGGTTGGCCCAAAAGGTCCCAGAATTCACCCCAAACATTCAGCAAATCTCTCTCATTCCACAACCACCACTGAATCCAATGAAAACACTGTGGATGCATCTTCCATGACTAATGCTCTCTTTCTTGAGTTTTTAGCCTTCAAAAAGAATCAGGATGCCAAGTCTGTCACAGAACCTAATCAAAGTGCTAATCCTATGGTGGCAACTGCAATTCAAACTGCTTCAGGTACTTCTGCTCACTATTCATGTGTTGTGTCCAGAAATCTTTCTAGAAATACTTGGATACTTGATACAGGAGCTACAGATCATATGGTTTGTGATGCTAGTTTCTTTACTTCTCTGCAACCTGTTAGTGATATCAAGATAAATTTACCTAATGGGAATATTACTAATGCATGTGCAATAGGACAGATAAATCTCTCATCCCATATTGTCTTGCATAATGCTCTGTATGTTCCAAATTTTTCTTTCAATTTGATATCTGTGTCCAAATTAGTATCTACAAACAATTGCATGATTCAATTCCTGTCATCACATTGCATTTTACAGGACTTGACAACACTCAAAATGATTGGTTCTGCTGACCTCACTGATGGACTTTATCATCTCACATTACCTGATTCTGCTCATACATCTTGTCTATATGTCAATACTACTTCATGTATTTTACCTGAACAATTTCATTTACCTGTAAATCATGGCTCTATGACCAATGATTCTACTTCTTGCAATTCATCTGTAAAGCATGATTCTATAAACAATGTCATATGGCACCATAGATTGGGACATTTATCTTACTCAAGAATGATGCAATTACCATTTTGTACTTCTTCTTGCAAATCACTGCTCTCATTACCATGTGATGTCTGTCATTTTGCTAAACAAAAGAGACTTCCATTCAACATCAGTGATTCAAAATCATCTACAACTTTTGAACTTATACACTGTGATGTTTGGGGTCCCTTCTCTACTATTTCTCATGAGGGTTATAAATATTTTTTAACTATTGTGGATGATTTCAGTAGAACCACTTGGATTTACCCTCTCAACTATAAATCAGACACCAAAGTCAGCCTTATAAATTTTTCAAATATGGTTAAAACCCAATTTCATAAACAAATTCAAATTGTTAGATCTGACAATGGGTCTGAATTTTTATTAAAAGACTTTTATCATGATCATGGTATTCTCCATCAAACAAGCTGTGTTGAAACACCTCAACAAAATGGGAGAGTAGAAAGGAAACACCAACACCTTTTACAAGTAGCAAGGGCTATTCTTTTTCATGCACACTTACCTTTAATTTTTTGGATAGATTG